AGGTTAAACCGGTCGGTATTTACATTAAAATACTCGTAAACATAAGTGAAACAAGTACACGTGTCGACCTAAATCACTAAATGAAGATGACCAACATCTACAACCATATATAATGAGAGCTGGTCTGTGACCTTGACAAGGCGTCAGTCGAGGTGTATTCATTGACCCCCCCTTTTTTTTTTTTTTTTTTTTTTTTTTGGTTGTTTTTTTTTTTAATTTTTGTTTTTTTTTTTTTCTATGTTCCCTGTTTTTTTCTGCCAAACGCACCCATTTTCTATCGATTAATATTACAGCATTCCTGTCGGTATGTGAAAATACGTGGTATGATAAAATATTGGTATGTATAGTCGAAATGTGGTTATCTCTCACAGACTCATATTAAGTGGCTTACTTAATTCAGCTGCCTCTGTTGCCGCTCCGACTCTAAATGAGATATCCGCGAGATGAGAGGCTGCCAAATTTTTTTTTATAGAATAAGGGTGACAAACGAGCACATAGTCCACCTGATGGTAAGTGTATGCTGTGGCCCATAAACGTCTACATTTATCCTCGATTAAGAATCATAACGCAGACGCGTTGTCACCCCTGAGGGCTAAGATAGAATGTCTCGTTTCCAGTAAAAAAAAGGTCTCCGGATCTCTATACTCACCATACGAAACACATCAGTATTAAGCTGCTATTTTACGCTGGTATTCTGTAAGAGCGTGGTCTTTCCGAAGTCGAGAGGACCCATTCGTGCTACAACCATAATCTAGCTGCAGGTGGCTCTGCAAGTGGCGTGTCTGTAGCATCCTACAATAGAGCTTTACCTATCTCCCGAGTGACCAAATAAATGTACGTACATCCGTAACAAATGTAAAATCTAACGACAATCTAAAACAGTGCGTTCTATCTACATCCGATATATAAATTAATCGGATCACTAAATAGTTGCTAAGCTGCTATGGACGTAGGTGATAAGAGGTGATTGTGAAAATCGTTAATTAGCAATAATTATGTACCAGTACTTGTTGATTGTATAAGCGCTGTGGACGCTTCGGCTTGAAGTTATGTTAGCTTCGGTGACGGGCACGTTGGTGCAGGTACGTTGGCTCGATCTTTAAGATTTCAATTTCAATAATCAAATATAAAAGCAGCTTCTTGCTCCTGTGTTTCGTATGGTGAGTGTAGAGAACCGGAGATCATTCCATCTCTGCCCTCAGGGGTGACTTCTTTCGCTTCTGTATTTTGATTATTAATTGTGGTAGAGAGAGTATAATTGTGGATGTCTATGGGCCACAGCATCCGCTTACCATCAGGTGGACTGTGTGCTAGTTTGTCTTCCTTAAACACTTGTATTGTAATTTAATCAAAAATTCGACACAAATCCGAAGTAAATTATCACTAACACAAATTAAAGAAATACGTGTCCTCTTCAAGCTCGTGTGAATTATTGTTTGAAAAGAAACGCGAAACTCTTCACCGCTCACCTCGATCTTCACCTTGACCCTTAGAGCTTCTAAATTATTCTCGACTGGTATTAAGAGTGCTTGTTTTTTCACGTAATATCAGATAATTTTGTGTGGATTGAGGAAATACAAAAAACGTACTTAACTAATGTTGTTTGGATAATTTTTCTTTAAGAATAGATTATATATAAAGTATACAAATTCGGGCAGCAAAATTAAGTGTTAACTTTTTCGTGGTAAAGGCATGCTGCAGCGATATCAGTAGTATAGTTGTAGCCACAAATGGGTCCCCTAAAATACCTGTAAAATAGCAGCATAACCCTGCTGTGTCTCGTATGGTGAGTGTAGAGAACCAGAGAACCCATTTGCTAGAAATGAAGAATTACATCTTAGTCCTCAGGAGTGACGACACTTCTGCATTTTGATTCTTAATTGAGTATAGATGTAGATGTCTATAGGCCACAGCAACTACTTACTATCAGGTGAACTACGCTCTTCAGCTTGTTAGTAACGTAGTAGTAGTAGTGTGGTGTGTATGTAACAGTGGATATTAAAAAAAATAGTGACTCGACTATCTTTTTATCAAATACTAGATGTGCCCCGCGGTTTCACCTGCGTATATCACGCGTCTCAGCATCAAGACATGAGACTTTGCCTATAGAGGCGTTCATTCCTGCTTTCTCTCGACGTTCTCATCGGGCGGATAGTGTTATGCGACGTTCGTTCGTGAAGGTTCCTGGGTATGCTTTTTATACGCGTAATAACTTCGAAATTTAATGTCCCATTCGATGAATTTAAAAGTATTTTAGTGGTACATAAATACCCATGATGGTAAAACTCTTTTTTGAGTAAGACTTAATACTACGATACGAATGTAACTAACTTTTGTTTCTACCGGCGATCTAATCAAATTTTAGAATCAAAAAGCTAGCTACTTTTGTGACTAAACTATGAGAGTTAGATATATTCCCTCGCAGACTTGTTTGTAATTAATAATGAGTTATTTAATCATGTAGTACATAATTTTTGTGTATCATCAATAGTTTTCTCAGCTCAAGCCAAATAATGATTTTATAGGAAACATTTTGCTATTTTGGGTTACATTATTGCAATTTTCTTAAGGATCTCTAATTTTTTTAAATAAATTATAGCCTATGTTACTTCCTGGCAATTAAGCTTTTTACCGGTGAAAAAATCGTTAAAATTATTCAAGTAGTTTCGGAGCTTATTTGGTACAAACAAACAAACAAAAAATCGGTCCTCTTCATAATATTAGTATTGATATAGATATGCTAGGACTACGATTCCATGTGACGGTCAATGTGACTTTACTGCACTGTTAAACACTACTAGGCATTCAAACTAAAGGAGTGATGCTCAGTGAAAGGCAAAACAAAACGTTAAGTTCTCGTTTTTAAAAGTCTTTAAAGGTGAAGTGAGGAAGCGTGAGGTGCATTAAGGGCGGTTAGTTAAACAAAAATGGTAGTTAAAAACAATTATACTAGAATATGATCTTTCCATTAAGAAGAGGTATTATCAACGCTATAGGCATTTAGTGCTTTCTTCTTCATTACAAAAGTCTTTAAGTTACGTGTCTATAGAGAAGACGAGCGCGTGTTATGGTCGAGCGCTACAGTCACTGAACTATGTGTCGTGTAGAGTAGCTACATTTATAAACTACGCTGCTACAGTTTGACTAATATCATAATCACTAATATTGTGACTAAAACTTCATTTCTAAATACTTGAAACGTGTAAACCAATCTTCATGCATGATTTAGTTCCTTTGTTTAATTAATAGCTTTTACGTTTTCATTCTTCGTCACTTTGTAGCAATTATCCTCGTTGAATCTACGTTACATTGTTCTGATATCAATTATAGTAATTACTCTACCATTGCTAGAATTCTTAGTTTTAATTCTTCGAGTACGTAGGTATTTTCTAGTAAGTATATTGTGAAAGAAAATATTTTTATTATAACTAAGTGTGACAGACTAATTTCAATGGCCTCGCGTATCATCCTTGGTAGGAATCAGTGTTCCTTTTAGAGAATTTGTGGTCTATCAAATCTGATGTAATGGTGAGAACGATCTTGAACATGTTCACAGACTGCAGACTTCCCATTGCTTCACGACAGCTATATGTTTTTTCATGCGGGTTCTTAAAGATCTTTTTGTTTGTCCTATGTAAGAGAGACCACGTTCACAATCTAGCTGGTACACTCCTGCATCTTGTAGAGGGACATTACACTTGATGGATGGTAATAAATTACTAATCTTCTTCAGCGGCTTGAAGTATGTTTTAATAGAAGCTCGCTTCAAGGTGTAGCCAACCTTGTCTGTGACTCCTCTGACATATGGTAGTACAGCAGGCACACGCTCGGCTGTGGCCGGCTTCACTCGGTCACTGCAACACTTGTTTGATGTGCTGAAGCTCGGCGGCCAGATGTTTTCTGACACTGATCCCTTGTGCTCTCTGAAACAAAGATTTTACCACGGTACCTACTGTGATGAATGATTCACTATTTAAATATTGTTTAGTATGGGTCTTTTTTCTACATAGCGTGGCCAATAGTGTTATCAGAATTTCGGATGAATTCAAGATACTGTAAGCTCGTTCTGCGTAACCGGGCTAACTATGACATTGGGACGGTATCCCTTTCCGAAAAAAAGGGGGTAACTAAAAATCTAACGTAGTAAATAATGATCGATGAACACACATATAAAGTTGCAACGAATTAAAAAAATTCTGTTTTTTTTTTGGCGTTGGTTACCTGCATATATCCAGAACATCAAACTTTCGATATTGAGTTGTAATAATTTAACTTTTAATAAAAATTACATATGAAGCAATGTCGTTCTTATAGTTACGGAGAAATCTTCACCCCCTATTTTAACACCTTTCTGGGTAAAATTTTTAAATTTATATGGGACTACTCCTATATATTAAAAAAAAGTATGTATAATCTATATATAAAATAAAGAATCATTTAAATCTGTTTAGCTGTTTCCGAGAAATCGATGAACCTACGGAAACAAACTTACGTGTAAAACCTTCTCGTTTTTATGAACTCGGTTTAAAATACTTAACATTTCTATGTCTGCTTTGTTTAACTCCCACTACTATTTCGCTAATACCGCGGGGGTGTTGTCTATTTTTATCACGTGCAGCTAAACGAAGTGTGACCTTTTTGTGTAATTTAAAATCGATTTAAGGGCGTTTAACGCTTAAGCGCCTCAGTAGAATTTCATAGGTATACCCTAAGGTATTTAGTACACGGGTAACCTTAGCTTGGTCCCTGCTAGCACCCAGGAATTTCTTAACTTTTTTATAGAATATTGGTGACAAATTAGGACACTGTTCACTTGTTGGTAAGTGAATGCTGTGTAACGTAGATGCCTTGTCATCCCTTAAGACAATTTCGTTTTGTAATTCCGTACTTAATTTCTCTACTACTTCGATACTTCGATAAGGAAGTTTTCACTTCAATAAATACGTTATCTATCTATCTATCTTTCACTTTTTAATTTTAATTCCTTCACTCTTTTGCAGCGCAATAAAACCCAGGATGGTAAAAGCGCGATGACGCCCGGGCTAAAGATGGAGTCGAAGAGCACGCAGATACACTTACCGCTGATGGGGCGCGGCAGCCGCGGCGATCTCAGCGATAAGGTCACCTTCTCACAAGTTAAGTCACCTGAACAGCTCAATAATGGACAGCTTTTGGGGTAAGATTTAACTTTTTTAATATAATAAGAGTAACAAACGAACGCACAGTCCATCTGATGGTACGGGTAAGTGGATGCTGTGGCTCATAGACGTCTACATCCTCAATTTACAATTACCGCGTAGTCATGTAGGAATATCTACTATCCCATATCTTTCTATTGTCATTAGAGGCGACAGAGCAAAACTGAAACAGAAAGTTGTAGCAGAATCTTACTGACAACTTTTCAAAATTACAAAAAACCAAACCAAGCGTGGCAACTATGACAAAACCCCCATTTGTGAGGTAATCAATCAATGGCGGAAATCTACATTCAGCAGCTAACTTTTATTGACTGTAATGGATGGATGGATCAGTAATAAACAAAATTGACGAATGCGCGGTCCATTTGGTACTTGAAACCTGGTTACTGTGCCGCGAGTCTTGGTTCGAATCCCAGTTAAAGCCATTGTTTTTGGGGTCAAATGGAGCGATCTTACTGTTCTAATTACCTACTTTTGTTACTGTTGAACAACAAATGAATTCAAACATACTCTTAAAAATTTTGCTATCGGGTACTAATTTGGCAACGCATATTGTTAATTGCTTGCTTATATATCACATGCTCGGTGGTGAAGGAAAACTATTTGTGACAACCTGTGTGTCTATTAAAATAAAACGTGAAGTCTGTCAATAAGAATTTGGGTAGTTAGGTGGACTCCGTCTTGCCCAAAACTCTCACAGAAATAAGAAAAGATGGACATTACGGTGGATATTGCTCTGTCATTTTACTATTTCTGTTGTTTTACACGATAAGTTTCGTAAAAATATTTTTAATCAATTTGAAACCATGAATATAAGTCCACAGGCCTCTTCTTTGTTTTATTTATGGAGTGTAGAAGTAAGGAGTACAGACTGCGTATTAAGGGGATATAGTAAGTCAGCTCAAATCCTAATTTCGTCCCCACTTGCCCGCGCGTCGTATGCTATGTATACCGACATGTTTGTAATCACTAATGCTGTAAGTAGATAGGTCGATAGATACTTATTTCATTAGTTTTATTATATTTATGCCTGTTTCTTAACGCCAAGCCAGTCTCTTCTTATTTTTATTACGGTTATTTCCCATTTTATGTCGTTCTGTTGCGTAATGTGTATTCTGATGTACGACACAACCTCCCCCTTCAAAGGCCGAAGAGAAGTGACCAGGCCAGGAATCACGCTTCAAGAGGCCGATAGTTTAGGTAATTTCTTTTTTACAGTGAAAATAATGGTATTTTAAAAAAAAGTTAGTAACATAAGCACTGCTTTATAGTTAGTTCAGTTAGTATGCAAAGTTTCATGACCATATTTAAAGTATTTTATGAATAACAGCTGTTTATTTTGGAGGTAACTTTGGATTTTTTTTTCTATCGAGAAAATTTTACGAAATCGTGTTTTCGTCTAACATAATCCTTAACATTAATCCTCAACTTTACCATATACAAGGTGGCCCATAAGTCGTTAGAAATGTAAATTTCGAATAAAATACAAAAGGCGCGCGCGGTGCGGGGGGAGTACCGACGGTTTCTGGGAATTCAGTCGCCATCACAGAGTACATTGTATATACACGAAATAGAGACCAAACTTCAAGGCTAAAATTGGAAATGCATCACTAGCGCCCCTAGACTTTGAAGTTGGTACTAATGTCATCGACTATATAACCTAATAGCTACCTACTGTACATGTATGTTTATAATATGTATGTATACGTAGCTGCTATATATTACTATTCCAACTTTTCCTTTATGATTTGGTTTAATAATTTCGTAAATAAAACAAACAACAAACAACATTCAATTTAAAATATTTTATTTTTTTCTATAGTGCTCACAAATTTTTTTTGCTTTGATTTTAAATTTATCATTCATATCGTTTACTTTTGATTTACCTGTCATAAATTTATTTATATTTTTACAATAATTAAAAATCATGAATCTTAATATTAAATTTATTATAAAGTTGACATTTCTTTGTTTGTGTTGTATGCAATGGGAGAACAATTCAAAATCTACTATAAAAATTATACAGCGCCATCTAGCAAAGACTTAAAATATTTGCAGCACTACCATTGCCCTCTGAACATGAGAGTTTGAATTACTAATTTTAGTATGCTATTCATTTCTCTATTTTTTGTATTAAGATTACGCACCCTGGTCGCCATGGAGCGTTTCACCGGTGCGGACCGTGCATTTTGTGTGCGCGAGTTTTATCGAAACAATGATTCGGCTACCATTGCACGGCGTAAATTTCGAGAATATCAGAATTTACGCAACTTTAAAGACATTCCAAGTATTCAAACGATTAAGAACTGGGTTATTAAGTCCGAAGAAAGTGGTTCGACGTTGGATAAACAACGGTCAGGTCGACCAAGGATCACGGACGGAAGAAAACATCGATGTAGTGAAACACTCAATTTGTGAAAATCCTACCCAGTCTACTCGTAAGCGTTCCAGTGCATTAAACTTACCCAGAACATCGTTACAGCGAATTTTAAAGAAAGATTTACATCTTCACCCGTACAAGATTCAGATAGTACAGGAATTAAAAGATACTGACACTATCCACAGACTAAATTTCGCAAATGAAATGTTGAACCGCTTTACTTCGTTTAATAACGTGTTATTCTCTGATGAGGCTCACTTTCACATCAACGGCCATGTCAATAAGCAAAATTGTCGCTACTGGAGTTGCGAAAATCCAAATCGCAAACATCAAAAGCCCTTATATAGCCCTAAAGTGACAGTTTGGGCGGCTATGTCAGCTCATGGCATATGGGCCCTTACTTTTTTGAGGACGGCAGAGGCCGCGCGCTTACTGTTACTTCACAACGGTATGTAGCTATGATCCAGGACTTTTTTACACCAGAGTTGCAGAATTTTCCAAGCTTCAATACGCGGACCTGGTTTCAACAAGATGGAGCAACTGCCCATACCTCTAACGTCGCTATGCCGGTCGTCCGTCAACTTTTCCCTAATAAAGTGATCTCTCGAAGAGGAGATATTCCTTGGCCACCACGTAGTCCAGATCTGACCCCAATGGACTTTTTCTTATGGGGTTATCTTAAGACTAAAGTGTACGAAACCAACCCGCGGACAATTGACGTCCTGAAAGAAAATATCCAAAGAGAAATGGCAAACATTACAGAGCTTACTTGCCGCGCAGTGATGGATAATTTTAAACGTCGCTTACAGGAGTGCCACGATCGTAACGGATTACATTTAGATGATGTAATTTTCAAAAAATAATTCCCATTTTATAAGGATTATGACAAAATAAAAACCTTTTTCATAATGTCATTAGTTTTTTTTTAAATTATTTTTTTTACATTTCAAGGGACTTATGGGCCACCCGGTATTTATTTCAAAATTAATGCTGCAATATTTTCGGCATAACGAAGGATCTTGCTAAGCCATTTGAGATTATATTTCCTCTTAAAAATTTAAATAAGGGTAGCGCCACTATAACTACGGGGTAAATTTTAAAGAACGCGCCGAAAAATATTAGTGGGATAAACGACTTTTTCGAGGTTTACTAAATAAAATTATTTTAGATTTTAGAGCTACTGAGCAGTTTAGCAGCACACTTCAGACCGTCGACAACTGCTAAGTTCATTTCATCGCAGTAGCTAGCTACTCTAGCGCTGTTGTGGAGAGTTTTTGAACTGTTATTTACTGCTTACAGATGGCCACTTTTTCAACTGTTCTACTATGGGAGTTGGTACTCCTTACTTCTACACTCCATAGTTTTATTATTAAGAATGTATTAGGACAAGGTAAAGTCTGCCGCGCACTTGTGTCCCTTTTGCGTGTTGCCTCTTTATTTTTCTCAACATGTAGATTGCGATTTTCTCATGATATTATCTTTCATAGCGGATCACGTAATAAACCAGTACTTGAAATTTTAATAAGCCATTTTATCGGTGCCGGCGGTAATCGAACCCTGAATCTCGTACTGTGAAATTTACAGCGAACGTTTAGCATCAGACACACCAAGAAACTTGCGAGAGAAAACATTAATGTAAAACTGTTTATTTCATTCAGAATAAGTGATAGCGTATAATTTCACGTTTTCGCAAACAGGCCGATGCAAATACACAATCCTCGTATACTTCACACGGTCAACAGCTTCTAGGCTTCTACTAATACATTCTATACAATATTTATTTGCGGAAGCAAATTTTCAGGTTCAAGGAATTTGTTGTTTGTTACGTCTAATTTCTTTGACTGATGAAAGACGGTCTTATCTTGTTACTGATAAGATAAAAAATTAACCAAAGCGAAATTCAGGCACTGATTCAGATACCGTTATTGACTGTCGATCTTTGAGCAAGTATTACAATGCAGATGCGATTGTGATTTTCTTGACAATTGTACGAATTATTCGCGGAATGATATTTCATTGTTTTATTTTAATGGAACATTTAAAACACTTGTTAATATGCAAACACTAATAGTGGCGACGTGACAGATTGTTTATTTGCCTTGCAACACTATGACAACGTAAAATAGCAGCACAATATTGCTGCGTTTCGTATGGCGAGTGTAGAGAACCGGAGACCGTTTTTACTGAAAACAAAGATTTCCATCTTAGCCCTCATGGGTGTCAACGCTACTGCATTTTAATTCTTAATCGAGGGTAGACGAAGATGTCTGTAGGTCACAGTATTCACTTATAATACAATTTCATTGAGTTACTGAACTATGGTGAATCTGAAAATGTAACATTTTAGTCGTGCTAGGTCTTTAGCGTTTTTTTTTTTATTTATTTTTGTTTAAATTACCAGAAAATAATTCGTACAATCGTCAAAGAAATCACAATCGCATCTGCATTGTTATACTTGCTCAAAGATCTAGTCAATAACGGTATCTGAATCAGTGCCTGAATTTCACTTTGTTTAATTTTTTATCCTATCAGTAACAAGATAAGACCGTTTATCGTCTGTCAAAGAAATTAGACGTAACGAACAACAACTTCCTTGAA